GTATGTGAGACAAAGTCTCACCATCCTTGCTTCTAAGGAGCATTCTGGTTGTACTTCTTCCAAGAAGTGTAACTGGCTTATATGCATGGAAAAAAAGGGTTGTTTTTGTGTTTCCCCTCTCCTTTTTTTTTTTTTTCCTTCTGCTTTCAGCATTCTGTTTTACTGCCATGGAGCTAAAGTAATGGTCAATTACATGATAGTGGTGAGTCTGGTGTAACAAGCTCTGTGACTAGAAATGAATCTGTCTTCTTCACATATGTACTGACTGTACACTTGTGCACTGTTGCCTTGGATGCTCTCATCATATCTGTGATTCATAGTGGGAAGCAGCACAGCAGTTGAGTTACCATAATGGGAAAAATGAGTAGCTATAAAATTTCAGCACTGATACTGGGAGTGTCTTAGAAGTAATTGTCATGGGCAGTGGCTATATCTCAGATCCCTAGTGTCTAACAAAGCACCTCATACAAAAAAAGAAAGTGTTGTTTATTTTGAAAATAATTGGGTAAAGCTAAATGAACACTGGATCATGCATACAGTCACAACTTAAGACTGACTTAATTTGTATAAATTAATTCAGACCTAGGCTTTAGCTCTAGGTAAAGAATTTATTTCTAAACATAATCTAATTGTAAAGGATAACTAAATAACAAACTATCATTTTCTCTGATCCACTAATCTGAGTAAGTCTTAAAGAAAGATGCAAATGCAAATTTAATGAGAAGCCGTGAAATGTGGTTATTTTCCTGATTGTCCTCCAGAGTTTGGTACAAGGACACTGTGGGAACATGATGAGGCCAAAAGCATATGTGGATCATGTCTTCATTTAGGATAACTGGAGTAACCACTAGAAAAAGCTAAAGGAGTTGACTATTTGGCTTTGTCAGAAATGTCTGCTATAAGCCCACTCAACTTCAATTCTCTCTTTCATTGAGAATTTTGGCCATATTATTCTCTGGGCTCTGACTGACACAGTTAAACACCACAGGGCAGATAAATGTAGCCAGGGAATTCTCCTCTTACTCAGTCCTTATCTTGTTTAGTGATCCTTAGTGAACTGCTTAACTTAACTCTTTTGGTTCCTTTACCTGAAAAGGGAAGTGAAGACATTTACTCAAATCTGAATAGACTTAAAACACACACTGCTCACTCCTAGCATCAAACAAGGCCTCCCTTCTTCTACTGAGCTGATGAATAGGAATCACTTACCACTGTTCACTCTGGGTATTCTCAATGGGTATTATAATTGTCTTCATTTTACTGAAGTACTCCCGAGACTCTTTCTTATCATCTAATGGTACCTCAATTACCCCTATCACATCTTGAAATTTCCTTAAAATCAGGATTGCTACTATCTGATTTTCACCATAGGAATCTAGGGTAACAGTTTATCACTGTTTATAACCACAGCATAAAACATTATAAATGCTCAGGAAAAGTGCACTTCTCAGAATGAACACTTGGTTTCCACACAGTGTCCTACATAGATGTGAAATAAGTTGGTTTCATGAGCTGTTTAAGACCAAAAAATAAAAATACTCAACTGTTTCTGCCAAGTTCTTTATATGCATACACAAAACACATATTTCTATCTATCAAGTTGAGCCTTTTTATCTGTCAGTGAAATGAGGTTACAGTTCAGGCCTTGCTGGATGAAGTAATAATGTCACATTCTCATATGCTATTGTTTAAATCTAGAAGACTATTAAGAAGCCAGTAAAAATAAAATTTGCAAGGATATGAAAATAAAAAGGGATGGTAGTGATTATGGTTTCCTAAACATCTTATAAACAGCTATATTATTTATTCCTAGCTTCAAGGGAAGAAACTGAAGTGAAGAAATATGTACATTACACACTTAGTGAAGAAAAAAAGCTGGAGCTCCTCAGACGAGAGACAATGCTTTCTTCCCTGCTGAAGAACATCCTCAAAACAAACTGGGTCCTGATGCCATGGTTTTACCTACCCTCTAGAGAAGTATTTCTCTTACTACTTGGGAAAGAACCCACTGAAATTTTCTGTCCAACTGAACTCCTTCCTGGATGTGTGGGCAGGAGAAACATTAACCTCTGACAGGCAAAGCAGCAAAGTACTGATGGAACTTCTTCATCTGTACAAGGCCTTTCTCAAAGCTCTTTCACATTTCAAAGTGAGTCAGCAGATCCTAGACACACTTTCCTCATTTGACCACTACAGAAATTCTGAGAGTGAACTGTCTACTTACTTCAATTGAAATAAGGAACAAAAAGCACAAACTTCTTAGTTCAATATGATTATGACTCATCAGAAAATCAAAACATTTTGCAGCAGCTGCTACTAAGGAGCAACAACAATATCCATTATGGTTGTACTCAAACTCTAAATAGTATGCTAAAATCCAAACAAATTCCAAGGTATTTCTTGAGGAGAAAATAGTGTAGAAAATGATATTTTGATAAAAAGGGAGAAGAAAAAAATCCCTCATTTGTCCTTAAGGGAAAACATTTTATTTATGGTAAATGCAAAACAGTAATGAAATATGACATTCTCAGGTAACAACAGAGTCTCAGGATTTTCACTTATAAAATAACATTCTTCGAGTTGTTTATCTACAAGAACTTGGTACAAAAGAAAACAGGTATCCTACCAACAAGTTAACCTAATATCGCATTCAATTTTCCCATTAAATAAAGCCTTCTAATCAAATCCAATTGGTTACATTCGCGGCTTGTATTTTTTTCTTACTAACCCCAGGGCAATTTTTAAAAGCCTGGAATGATAAAATAACAGTTGAGATTGAGCAAAATGTTGAATTCCAAGCATCTTCCTGAGAATGTGCACTTTTCTTTTCTCCCCAACACTGAGTTCTATTTAACCACTTACAGGAATCAGCAACTTAAAGTACTATTCACCCAAGTTTTTCATTCATTTAACAAACAGTTATTAAGAACTGACTGTATGCTAGGTACTGGGCCAGGCATGGACATACAGCAATAAACAAGGGAGACATGGTCCCTGCCCTCAAGGAGCTCACAGCCCATGCCAACCAGGCAAACCTCAAGTACACATACAGATGTTAAAGTGTTCCACGAATCTCAGGAAATGAGTTAAGGCATAAAAGAACTGCCCCAGCTTTCCTAACCAACATGCAAGCTAAGGACAAATATTTAAACGGAGAGATAACTACACAAGACAGCCTGTCTTATTCTTCCCGTTTGTGCTTTAGCCTAAATGCCTGAAGGCTAGTTATAAAAATCCGTAACAGGTTCTACCATTTATGTGTGTAGAACTGGTGATCTCGTTTAAGATAAAAATCATTTAAGTTTTGATGTTGATAACTTGACAATTACTTACATTTTGTCACACCTTACTGGGTTGTTCTACTGAACTACTCATATTCAGAAACTTACTTCACAACAGAGACAATTTATGTGTTTTGAATTAATTAATTTAATAAAGACTTAAAACATTTGCAAACAGGTCATTCATTCTGCACATTTATAAATTCAATTTTACAAAATACAATGATACCTACTATGAAGTAAGTGGGCTTTTATTTTTAACCTAATTATTTGTAATCTCCCCAACAACACTGCAAGGTACTACTAGTTCTATTTTCCAGATAAGGAAACAGGTGCAAAGAACTTAAGTGAGTTTCACAGCACTTCATACCTAGTTACTGTAAAGCCAGGGATAACCAAAAACCAAACCCACAGCTGTGGAGTCAATTCCTACTCATAGCGACACTATAGCGCAGGGTGGAACTGCCCTATAGTTGTTTCCAAGGCTGTAATCTTTATGGAAGCAGACTGCCACATCTTTCTCCCTCCAAACGGCTGGTGGGTTCAAACCACCGACCTTTTGGTTAATAGCCGAACACTTAACCACTGTGTCACCAGGGCTCCTTAAGTCAAGAATAGAGCCTCTAATTGTCGGCTTCTAATTGTCTGACTAGTTAATTTATATTCTCAAGAATCCTACACTAAACACAAAGTTCTCATCCTCCAGGGCTATATACAACAGAATTACTTACTGTGCAACACCATAATGATGTTATAATAATTCAGTTAAGGCTTTTAAGCAACCAGAGTCCAATAAAACATCTAGGATTTAATAAAACATCACATTAACTAGTGAGATGAAATGTGAAATAACTTCTCAGGTAAATGGAGGGTGTGAAACTATGAAGTCTTTTCTAACATGAGTAAACTGCATCAAACATCAGCACCAGCAACCTCCAAGCCTGGCTGTGTGAAATTTTCCCAAAAGAGGGGAGAAATATCTCACAGTCAGAAGCGGATGATCTGGAAACTCAAAAAAAAAAAAAGCTGGATCCTGGAGAACTTGCGGGGTTTTTTTTGTTTTGTTTTGTCTTCAGTGGAGTTGATCCTACGAAAGACCCACCTAATGACTGTACCCAGGTCACCTGCTCACGGAAGGATAGTCGACGTTTTGAGAGAAGACCTGCACAAGCATTTAAGCGCACCCATCAAGAAAAGCCCAGTCATCACCACTATTACCGCAAAAAAAAATCAGAAGCCTACAATAAAACAGGGAGAACTTTGAGTGAATAGAAATGTAAATTTGCAACATCGGAAAATGGAATGCATATGGATCAAATTGCTCTGCAGTTACCTCCTAAAAGCTCTTCTGTGTTGTTCATCCAAGTGAACAATCCCAGTCAATTTACAGCACCCAGCAAGCTTTCACTGGCAATTTACAGACTGTAAACTAAAACGACAACCACCCGCCTAACTTTCCTAAGATCGGCAGCACTCTTAGGAGCTGCCTTTCCCCTTCTTGTACAGCGTCTCCACTATACGAGAAATCTGCTAAAACTGTTCACTGAGAACTTAGGTTGTGCTGGAATCGCCTGCAAAGAAATCACGGCAATTTCGGCTCGGGGAGAGCATGCTCGCCATTCACTGCCCTGCTAGTTTCTTAACACGAATGGGACTAACATTTGGTACTCAGGAAAGAGAACTTCTTCTGACCTTGACTGTGCGCGCTAAATAAATTACCTCAGAACGAAAGTGGTGAGATCTCATAACAGCATCTGGGGAGAAAAGAGAAAAACGGGACTTCATTTAACTCTTTGTCCTTCACCTGCTGAGTTACTAATGACTTTTACCAAAGACTGAGGGACAAGGGTCGGGCACATTCTAGACGCCTCGAATTCAGAAAAGGACATCCTACGGTGAGGGTCACTGGGCCATCAATCTCCAGGCTATTTCTCGGTGAGAGAAGTTTCCGAGAAAGTTCTGGGGGAGCTGGGGAGACCCAAACTCTCTGTGTCTTACTTTCTTACCCCTAGGTTCTAGCGATGGATGGGTGAAGGACAAACAACAGCAGCCCCGGAGTCCACTCGAATTACCCTCAGGGCTTTAGCAAAACGGACGCTAAAAATTTTTGTCCTTTCCTTCCCTTCCAGTTTTCTGCATCGCCGTGGTTATCCAAATCCGAGAGATTGGGGGGGGGGGGGCTAAGAGTGGGGTGAAACAAATAAACGTACTCAGCTTGGGGAGTGGGCAATGATGGGGGTAGGAGAGGCAATCGAGAAAAGAGTGAGCCGTGCCTCACTCTCCAAATAGGCTTAAATGTTCCTCCTAGCGCGAGGGAACCGGTCGCGGCGTCTTACCTCGGCTCCTTGAACGGCCCGAAAAGACCGATTTCATCGGATGCCTCCCTTTCTGGAGCCTGCGGTGCCAGCAGCAGAAGAAGACGATGGTGGCGATAGTGCCCAGCAGAAGCAACAAGAGGAAGAGGGCACATTGGATGCTGTAGGGTCTCAGCAAGACGAGGAAAGCCGCGGCGATCATGGTGCAGGCAAGGCGGGGGCGGCTCAGCGGCGGGGCTAGAGGGCGGCTGCACAGGCACCCGCGCGGGGCGCACGATGGGCGACGGGCACGGGCGAGCGCGGCTCAGCGCGTCATGCCCGGCGCTCGCGGCCCTGCGCCCAACCCAGTGGCTGCGCACCCCGCGCTAGCCGCGCTACGCGAGTGATCCAGGGCTGCGGGGAGCGCTTGCCATGACTCAGCAGACGATGACGAGTCAGGGACTCGGCGCCGGGGAGCCTCTCCCTTCCCTCCCCAGTAGCCCCCGCCCCCGTCTGTGCGCAGCCCCCGGGCGCAGCCCCGCCGGGGACGCGGCGAGTAGGGAGGAGCAGCGCCGCCGCCGCGGTCTCCCAGGCCCGGCGCATAGTCTCGTGGCCTCCGCGAGCTTCAGCATCCCCTAAGCCGGGCAGTCGTGGGTCGGGGTGGGGGCGCGGCGCCCAGGCTGCAGACGCTGCAGCCCGCAGGAGGCGGGAATGGGGCGCCGCGGCGGGGGCTCGGCTGATGACATCACGGCCGGGCTGCGGCAGCGCGG